TACCTACGTCGAAGGCTTGTGCTGCAGGATTGTGTGCAAGGATGAAGTTACCCAGCGCTCAGGGAGGACGTTCTGCAACAGAGTCTGGGTTATTTGAAGTAGCCACAGAGGCAATGGATGAAGGGCGAGAGGAACGCACCGACGACGAAGCCCTGGAACTAGCTACCGACGATTGGAACGGCTTGGATCGGACGATCAGCAGGATGGAACGATGGCGTGCGTATCCATCCTGGTCAGTGCTTGCTGAGGCACTGAGGCTCATCATGAAGCCCAAGTGGGTCAACCCACGTTGCCCTCTTCCACAGGCGGGTATAGATGCTGGCAGCAGCGAATATCAGGCGCCCATGATCGTGCGAGGTCCTTTGAAAGCTATGTAGCTCTGGCTTGCAATTTGCGCGCAAATTGCAGCGAGTCCCGCTTGCATGGCATGCTGCTCAGGGGGCTCGTCACCCCAAAGGCATTACAAGGCATTAAACATATTGAGGTGGACAGGGGGCGGATCATTATGATCGCGTGTACGATTGGACGAACCTACCATGCGGCGGCGCCGAGAAGAAAATTTGATCCCCGGCAGCCCGAAGAATGGATTCATGGCGGGTTACAGAAGCCTCGACGTGAAGCGGCCATGGGCGTCCAACTTATTTCGTCATATCGACTGCAGGCTGCGGGAATATCCCGCGTGGTCAGGTTTTACGATGCGACCGACGCCTTCTTCAGCCATTACCATGGGAGATGTTTTGACATATTGCCCACGCTGTATGCAAATCAGGGTTTTAAATTTGCGCGTGATCGTGTGCTAGGATCTAGGAGGGTTTTTCTTGAGACGGACGAGACGGGCGGCATCTGGCTTCGACCACGAGAAGTGGCACCCCCTGGCGACGTCGGGGCGACTTTGATATTCGCAAAGGCCTTCAGTCCACCGGTGCAGTTGCTGATTTGTATGCATGTGAAAAATGGCATCATTCCGTGGAGGCGGAAACTCCATGGAGCGGTAGTCTCGCGCAGCAGATGGCGCTCGCAGGCTTTGCCGGCGATCTTTCCTGTCAGATTTTAGATGCGGGTCGCCCTGGCGCGGTCGTTCAGAAACTCGAGCAAGGCAGCCGATTTGAGAACAATTAGCCGCGGACAAGGGGATGAGGGAGGTGGGGCCGAACAACGCATAAAACAGCGGGAGGGCGTGGCCTACATTCGAGGGGCAACAGCGCGCATTGCGGCGCGCATCATGCGCGAGCGTGGCGCACAGATAGCAGGGCGCGCGAAACGTCGCGCGCGATGCCTTGGGGGGCTTCAAGTTCGCCGCTTCACTTCCAAACCCGAGCTGAAGAAGCGACTTCGAGTACCCCGGGCAGGCTATTTTCCATTGGCAGATTTTGGATGTCCCCTGGCAACTTTGGGATTGAACATTCTCCGTTGAAGGGGCTGTTTGCGACTGCTGCCCCCAGCTGCTTGAAAGTGCGAGCGCAGGGCCACTAACTTCTGGCTTGTGAAGATTTGGCCCCGCTCGAAGGGTTCATTGTGCGCAAATGCCGTGCAATTCTCGGTGGCGCAGCGTCCTGGGATGATGACATGCAGCGCGTCAGCGTCGCGTGCGGACATGGGGTGCTGAAGAAGTTTCGTTTTGCGCCGCTGTTCAGAACTGCGCGCCAGCGGGTTGAATGGCTCCAGACCATAGTGCAGGATCGAGGTCAGCACGTTCAGTTCTTGTCGACTTGCTCTGGCACATCTGCTCTCGGCGGAAAGGTTTCTGTTCGGGAGAAGGTTCGGTCAGGCTCCTGCGCGCCCCTGAGCTTTTCGGCTACAGAATGGCATGGATCTGAAGGAGTTGGGGGTGGGGGGCTCGACGTTGGAGATAGGAGGGAGTATGACTCGCATATTGATTGAAGACTTCGAGGACTTCGCCAATATTGTTGGTTTTGAGTTAAGGGCCAAGTTTATTATTGCGCCTACAGTGGGCGCGCGCAAGCAAGTGCGCAAGGAGGGCAATTTTAGATGCACGGGAACACTGGCAGACGGCACAGTATGTAATTCCGCATGGCCGTCGCAGCGCATGCCCGCAGAGCACGTCGCGCGAGCGATGCGAAGAAGTCGCGGGCAGCTGCATGCAGGGCGCATATTTGCCATTGCAAACATGTGTGCGCTGTGCGACCGCGTGTTCCTCAGTGCTGAGATCGCGAAGATACATATAGCAGACAACCTGCAACGACAGTGTTGCCCTTGCAGCAGAGGTCGTTCTGCGCGTGAAGTCTTCCCTCCGAAGTGTATGACGTGTCCCATATGTGATGCGAGTTATGGTGTCATGGAATTCTGGCTCAAGCATTGTCGAGATCACCTGGGGCCATATCTTTCACCATCTCATCTTTCCGCGTGCGTCATTTTGTGAAGCATGAGACTGTGGCTCAGTCCCAACTACTATCACAAAGAGGCGGCGCATCCTGGGCCGGGCTTCTGGGGCCAGACTGGGGCCCGAGACTTCATGCCCGACGGCTCGGAGATGGTGGCGCAATCGAAAAGCGGGTTGATTTGCGACCGCAGCAGGAGCTTCGCGCAGGCAGGGGGCGACTCCAAGAAGCAGGAGCACAGCGTCGAGCAGGGCGACGACGAGATGGACGATACCACGACGATCACGCTGATGAAGAATCTCATCGTTCAGCTGGAGGCGAGGGTTCGACTGTTGGAGCGCGAGGCTGTGACGACGGCCATCATGGATAGGCAACATCTAGCGGGAGTCGACGTGAACAAATCATGCGCGGAGTACGCCAAGGAGCGCGGGCAGGGTCCCACGACGAATCTGGGTTCGCCAGTCTGCCAGTCCGTCTAAGCGATTCTCACCGTCTTAGGCACTTGGCAGTGTCGGGGCACTTCGGCAAGAATATCGCGGCTCAAGCTCGCAGCCGTCATGCTCATGAAGACGGTGGAAAGGGCAGGGCCCGATCTCGCGGGCCAGTGGGCACGCGAAACAGCAGCGTTCTTGTGTTGCCACCGGCCCAACAAGCCCAAGAAGTCAGGCGTTTTGTTCAGCTCTCGGGGGCCAACACTGGTGCCAGAAGAGGGCAGTCGGGCAGCAGACCTGCTCAGAGCAACAGAAGAGCCAGACCATCTGCTGCGCCGGCACACGCCGTTAGAAATGACGACGAGCTTCTTCGCGCTGAAGGGCAAGGTGATGGTGGTTGAATCGATATTGGGCGAATTTATCAGGACTGCAGGAGGTAACGCCACCTCCAGCAGAGGACCGCGTGGCAACATGACATGCAAGCTCATGGAGAAGTAGTCGCGCTAGTGATGCACTATAACGGTTTATTTCGAAGGCTTTGGTCTAGCATGAGATTTAGGCAATCGCCATAGAGTGCCGTATCGTCGCCACTCCCCGTCTTGCTAGAATGTTTCTGGACCAGGGCTCCTGGGGCCTGACCCAGGCGGAGGCCTCACGGCCGATGCCCGCGGGACATGAGTCTGACTTATCTTGAGGTGCGGAGTCGGCACTGACTCCATCTGGGGCTCTCTGCGACCTGCGCCGCATCTAGGATTTCAGCCTACGCCACGTGCGTAACGGGGTGCACCTGGCTTTGTCCGTGGCGGATCGGGCCGTTCTACCTCACACAATCCCGTGTTACACCTGCGCCCTCGTCTCCAATTGGCTCCGCCGTTCTGCTCTCATGTGTTTGATTGGCGTACCAATGTATCTTATGATTTGAGGTTTGAGAAAAGCGACAGATGTTTATCCCTCTTCCGATTTTGTGCCTTGCCCTATGAGTTCAATTGCCAGGCACTGGCGCAGGCAATTACCTGTTGCATCTGCCCACGCGTGTGGTTCTCCGAGCTAGGAAGATGAATGGGGGCACAGACAAGCTGTACCCCCCAGGTTCTATGATAATGAGACTGACAAGACATTCGACTGAATGGGTGAGAGCGAACGAGCTCCTCTGGGTGCCCTTGCACATCCATCTCCCCGGTGCCGTCCTTCTACTCCTTCCTCCGCTCTTTCCCCCTCGCCGTCTCCTCCTATCCTCCCTGCGAACACCAGCAGATTTCGCCCCCCCCGAACCCCACCCGACGGCCGATTTGGGTTTACAGGGGGCACCTCCACAACAGCAGCCCCGAAGAACACCCCAGACCCCAAACAAGGCCCCAAAAAACTCCTCTCCATGTTTCCCTCTCTTCTCCTCCTCCCCCTCCTCCCCAGTTGCTGGGAGCCCCCCCCTCCCTCTGATGCCGCTCTCCTTCTCCCTCTTCTTCGGCTCGCCTTCCTTTTGCTCATCCTCTCCCGGTTTCCTCCCCGCACCCACCAGCAAGTGTCGGCCTCTCCTGACGGCCGATCAGGGGGACAGTGGGGACCTCCACGAAAGTCACCCCTGGGAGCCTCCAGCCCCCTCTCTCTGGTGCCGCTCTGCTTCTCCTTCTCCTTCTCTTTCTTCTTCTTCTTTTTCTGATTCGTTGTTTTCCTCCTTTTTCTTCTTCTTTTCCCCTTTCTTTTACGCGCCCTCGTCCAATCCTCCCTGCTCCCACCCGCCAGCCTCCGCCCTTCCTACGGCTGGTCAGCGGTGACATGGGGATCCTCCATTACAGTAGCCCCAGAGAGAGCCCCAGAACTCCCCTCCCCGTTCTCCTCTCTTCTCTTTCTCCTCCTCCGCCTCTTGTGGCCTCCACCCCTTTCTCTTTTTCTCTTTTTTTCTCTCTCTCTCTCTCTCTCTCTCTCTCCCTCTCTTTTTTTTTGTCTCTCTTTCTCTCTCTCTCTCTCTCTCTCCTCCTTTTGCTCGCTTCCGCCCGTCCTGTCCTGCCGTCCTCTCTGCGCACCAGCACGTCTCGGCCCCTTTGGGCTCCAGCGGACTAAGCCAAACACTCGATTCCCCCCCTCTTCCCCCTCGCCTGGCTCCTCCTCGAATATCCCGCAGCAACTTTCAACCAAGGTCTTCCTTCATGACGCCCACCTTGGCCAACAGGAGAGTTTCGCCCTGTCCGCTGGCTTCGCTTTTCCAGCCGGGGATTCCACGGGTTCACGCCAGTCACCTACAGCGCCGGGATAAGTGCGTGCGAAAAGGGCGAGCAGTGGCGACGGGGCTTGTCGCTGCTCAGTGAGATGTGGGAAGCGAAGCTAGAGCCCAACGTCATCCATACTACAATGCCGACGGGAGCCGCGTGGCTGCCAGGATCAAGCGGCCCTAAACCATATCGAACGGCCTTAAACCGTCCCAGCAGGCCCTGGCGCGCGCTCCTGGGCGCCTCCGCGACGCTCCAGGACGGCTCCATAAGTCGCAAGATAGCCCCAAAACGGCCCAAGACGGCCTTAGGCGGTCCCAAGATGGGCCCAGATGGCTTCCACACGGCCCAAGAAGGCCCACAAACGGCCCAGTTACGGCCTCCAGGGTCCAAGAGGCTCCCAAGACGGCCCAGCAGAGCTCCAAGACGACCCAAGGGCTGCCAAGACGGCCCGAGGAGCCGCCAACATGGCCCCAAAACCCTCAGGAACGCCAGGGCACCCCCCGAACGTTCCTGGACCGCCCCCGCAAAACAGCTCCGAGTGGCCCCAGGGGCCGCTCAGACGGCTCCTCGAGGCCGGGGAGGCTCCCATTGGATCAATTTTCTTCGTGGGGAGCCCAGTTTCCAGTTTCATCCGTTTGATCAAGCGGGCGCCAGAAGAATTCAAGATCTTGTCAGCACTGGCCGCAATATCCGGCAGTCTCTCGACTGCGTATTGGAGCGCAAGAGGCCCCAGAGCAGGCCCCAAGAAGGCCCCGCGCTTGTCCTGAGACGGGTTGGACCGAGGAGTTCCTCACTCCTCCCTCCGGGCTCCGTGCCCCTCCCGAGGACGACCCGCGAGCCCGCCAAGACAGCTCCCGGTGTCTCCAAGGGCCGCTCAAATGTCCCAGCGAGGTCCGGGAGGGCCCCGCCAGCGCGGCTCCGTGCCCCTCCCGAGGACGACCCGCGAGCCCGCCAAGGCAGCTCCCGGTGGCGCCGAGGGCCGATCAGACGTCCCCGGGAGGTCCGGGGAGGGCTCCGCCGGAGCCCAGGCAGCCGCAGGACCGCGCCCCGAGTGGCTCCCTCCTGGCTCCGTGCTCCGTGCTCCCTCCCTCCGCCTGGCGCCCCCCTCCTCCTCGGAGGGAGGAGAAGCGACGCCAACACCACCAGGGGGCCCACCTCCAGCGAGGAGGTCCGCGATGCCTCCCCGAGCTGGAGGCCGGGGATGTCTCGAGCGAAGGGGGGGGGGGGCGCAGCACCAGGGAGAACCCCCTTGCCTCCTCGCATCTCCTCGCCCTGGTGGTGTTGGTGTCCCCTCTCATTGTTCCTACCTCCTGGTCCCCCAGAGATCCGATGTTGTGTTTTTTTAATGCGGGGTCCCTGGAGGTCCCGACCCCTTCCCCGGGACCGGTTTTTCATCCGGAGTCGTTTTTTGACGGTCCTGCGGCCTGGCCAGGTCCCCTCGAGGCCGAAAAGGGCGAAAAAAGTCCGTCTTGATTTTTTCAATGCGTTGGATCTCTGGCCCCCCCTCCGCCCCTCTCCGCGCCGGCAGTGCCTCGAATTCACGGCCTCGGGCCGGCCTCGGTGAGCGGCCCGGCCGGCGCCTGGACGGGCCCCAAAAGCAGCTGGCCTCGGGGCTGCCCCAGAGAGGCGGCCCAGGGTCACCCCTCGGCTAGACTGTAGTCGGGCCTGTCCCTCTACAGCGGGAAATTTCAAGAATAGTCGAAAACTAGTCTGGTGACGATTTTTTGATTATTTTTTGACCATTTGGGGGTATTTTTGGAGTATTTTGTTGTTTTTCGCCTCACATCCCCCTGTAGGGGGACAGGCCCGACCTAAGGCTAGACGTAAGAGTGACCTTTCGACGGAGTGACCTTTGGTGCGGGCCCACATGGCCTCCCCAATCGCCGAACGCCTGCGATATCAGCGGCCCGCGCGCTTGGGTTTGACTCCCCCACGCCCCCCCCAGTGCCGCGCACCAAACGTCACTCTTACCCGGGGTCACTCTTTCGGGCCGGACGAAAGGGGGGATTGGGAAAGGGGGGGTTACGAAAGTTGCTGCATGCAGCTGGTTTCGGCCTCACCGAGGCGCCCATTCCTCGATACATAGCCGCCTCAGGCGCCGGGAGGCGCCGGGAAAATCAGCTACGTGAGCTGATTCTCAAACCCCCCCTTTGCTATCCCCCCCTTTCGCCCGACCCGACTCTTGCGTGTAGCCGACATCCCAAGGTGCACAGCCAGGACGCCGAAATCGGGACCGCTTGGGGTTCGGCAGGGGCTCGAGGATCCTTCGGTCCTTCCGAAGGCTGTTCCTCTGGCCCTCCTCGTGCACGTTGGCGCCTCTGGGGCCGAACAGGTGCTTCGTTCCTTCTTTCGCGTTCCTGATTCTAGCAGCCCGACTGCAATCCCAAGGTCGCCCCTCGAGCGCCCAAGAGCCGCCCAGATGGCTCCGCGAGGCCCAGGGGTGCCCCCCCCCCTATGCGCGCGGGGCAGCGCGCGAGCAGGCGCACGGGCAAGCGACCTTTGCCTCTGCTCTCGAGTCTCGGCATCGCTCGGACGTGTGCACTTCTTCTCGGCCGGGACGGTCGAGGAGGATCCTGCAGGGACCACCTCGCGCGCACGGCATCGAAGAAGGGACGTGGAATGGACACCCGCGCGATGGCAGGGAGTAAGAGGGCGTGGACGCGAGTCCACGGGCCGGCCCAGCCTTCTGCTCTACCACACGGCAGCGTCCACCGCTCGTCACGTGGGCGAGCAGTGGCAGAGGACCCGCCCCCTCCCGCGGCCACCGCCGCCGCTCGGGGGCCCCGGCGCGCTTCCAAGATGGCCGAAGAGCGCTCCGAGCCGCCCGCCCCCGGAGGCCCCCCAGGAGGGCCCGAGGGCGGCTGGAGACGGTCCACGAGACGGGCCCCGAGCGCTCGAAGACAAACTGCTCCAAGTGGGCTCGGGAGAGCCCCCAGACAAGGAAAACTCGTCCCAGTCCTGGAGGAAAACGTGCAAGGAAAACTCGTCCCAGTCCTGGGGGAAAGCGTGCATTTCGGGAGCTCCTGTGCTTTTCGTCTTCGAAGCGCCAAGACGGCCACACAGGCCCCCAAGATCGTCCCAAGACGCCTCAGGAGGCTGTCAGGAGGGCCCCAAGACGGCTCAACACTGCGCCAGGACGGCTCCTCAGGCGGCCATGGCTGCCCTAAGAGGGGGCCAGGACAGGCTGGGAACGCTCCCGAGGGGTCCCAAGAGGGGGCCAGGAGGGCCTCAAGAGTGCCCCGACAAGGCCCCATGATGCATGTGCTGGGGCGCCCCTCTCGCAAGCCCAAGAAGCATATACTTGCGGTTTTGGGACCTCTTGGAGCCCCTGGGGGGCGCTCTTGCGGCCCTCTTGAGGCCTTCGGGCCCCTCCAAGACAGGGCCAAGTGCATTCTGCCAGAGAAAGGCCTCTCGCGGCAAAATAGTGGGCTCGCGCCCGGCGGCGTCCTGGGGCCCTTTTGGAGCTCTCTTGGAGCCTTCTGGGGGCCCTCTTCGTGCCCTCTGGCACGACCCACCCATGGTTCGGCAACCCCCGCCGCCAGTGGCAGCAAGCACGGGTACACATTAGTCTCTTCTCCATGGCAGACGGAAGCGCGTGCGAGAAGGTCGTGCACTTTCCGCTCCCTCGAGGGCCATTTTTCGACACCCCTCACGCAGATCCTGGCCCCCGAGCGTCACAAATCGAGCCCTCTCCCCAAAGACGCGCCGAAGTGGCCATCAGAGGCTCCAAGGAGCGTCCAAGAGGCCCCCTAGAGGCCCCCAACAAGGCCCACGAGGCTCCCTAGAGGACCCCACCGAGGCTCTAGAGGCCTCCAAGAGCCTCCAACAGTCCTCCGAAGCATGTCCCCAGAGGCCAAAATCCTGCATTTTCCATGGTTTTTGAAGGAGTTCTGCCTGCTCACCTTCTCGGCTAGCCGACGCTCCAAGCCGGCTGAAGAGACCTACAAGACCGCCCCGGGACGGCCCAACAGGCCTCCAAGCGCGTCCCCAGACGGCCCAGGGAGCCCCAAGATGGCCCGAGAGGCGCCCGAGACGGCCCCGGAGGACCCCAAGCCAGGCCCAAGAGGGGGCCAAAGCACGGAGAAAAACCCTGACACTCCGAGTCCTGGGCCCCCATACGCCCACACAAGGCCCAGAGGACCCCAAGCCAGGCCCACGAGGGGGCCAAAGAACGGGGGAAAACCTTGACACTCCGAGCCCTGGGCCCCCATACGCCCACAGTAGGCCCCAAGACCCCCCCAAGAGGCCTCCAAGAGCTTCCAACAGTACTCCGAAGCGTGCCCCCAGAGGCCAAAATCCTTACTTTCTCCATGGTTGTTGATGGAGTTTTGCCTTCTCGCCTTCTCGGCTAGCCGACGCTCCAAGACGGCCGAAGACACCCACAAGACCGCCTCAGGGGGGCCCACCAGGCCTCCAAGCGCGTCCCCAGACGGCCCAGGGAGACCCAAGATGGCCCAAGAGGCGCCCAAGCCGGCCCCAGAGGAGGCCCAAGAGGAGGCCACCCTGACATTCCGAGCCCTGGGCCCCCATTCGCCCACAAGGCCCCAAGACCCCCCCAAGAGGCCTCCAAGAGCATCCAACAGTGCTCCGAAGCATGCCCCCCAGAGGCCAAAATCGTTAGTTTTTCAATGGTTGTTGAAGGAGTTTTGCCTTCTCGCCTTCTCGGCTAGCCGACGCTCCAAGACGGCCGAAGACACCCACAAGACCGCCCTTGCCTTCTCGCCTTCTCGGCTAGCCGACGCTCCAAGATGGCCGAAGACACCCACAAGACCGCCCCAGGACGGCCCACCAGGCCTCCAGCGCGCCCCCAGACGGCCCAGGGAGCCCCAAGATGGCCCAAGAGGCGCCCAAGCCGGTCCCAGAGGACCCCAAGCCAGGACCCCCAGGAGGGAGCCAAAAGACAAAACTTGCCCCATTCGCTTTGGAAAACTTGCATTTTTGATATGCTCGCTCTTTTCGTCTTCACCGCGTCCGAGACGGCTATACAGGTCTTCCCGATCGCCCCAAGACGCCCCCAGAGCACCCCAGGAGGGCCCCCAGACGGCTATACAGGCCCTCCGCCTCGCCCCAAGACGCGCCCAGAGGCCCCCAAAGGGCCCCACAAGGCCCCGACGGCCCAGGACGCACCCAAGAGAGCCCCCAAGAGCAGCCAAGAATGGCCAACGGGACGGCTCCGAGAGGCTCCAGGGAGCACCAAGACGGCCTCAGAGCACCCTTGGGAGCCTCAAGGCAGCCCCAGAGGCCCCCAAGGCCCCAAGGCAGGCCAGGAGGCTCCCAAGACGGCCCAGAAGGGCTTCCAGGAGAGCCCCAAGAGGCCCAAACCGTCCCATTCCAGACGGGAAGCGCACATTTTCAATATATCTTGTTTTTTCATCCTCGCAGCGTCCAAGACGGCTATAGAGTCCCTCCACCTCGCCCCAAGGCGTGCCCAGAGGCCCCCAAAGGGCCCCACACGGCCCCGGGACGGCTCCAGAGGCGCCCGAGACGGCCCAGGACGCAGCCAAGACAGCCCCCAGGAGCAGCCAAGAATGGCAAACGGGACAGCTCCGAGAGGCTCCAAGGGGCGCCACAGAGCACCCTTGGGAGCCCCACGACAGCCCCAGAGGCCCCCAAGGCAGGCCAGGAGGCTCCCAAGACGGCCCAGGAGGGCCTCCAGGAGAGCCCCAAGAGGCCCAAACCGTCCCATCCCCAACGGGAAACGCACATTTTCAATGTATCTTGTTTTTTCGTCCTCGCAGCGTCCAGAAGGCTATACAGGCCCCCCAGCTCGCCCCAAGACGCGCCCAGACGCCCCCATGAGGGCGCCCAAAGGGCCACGCACTGCCCCAGGACGGCTCCAGAGGCGCCCGAGACGGCCCAAGACGCACCCAAGACAGCCCCAAGAGCAGTTCATAATGGCCCAAGACGGCTCCACCACCCCGTCTCCAAGACGGCTGTAGAGGCCCCCGCCGCCCCGTCTCCAAGCCTTTCCGTTTGGACAGTCTCCAAGACGGTCTCTGGGCCGTCCGGGACGGTTCCAGAGGCGCCCGAGACGGTTCAAGAAACACCAAAGACAGCCCCAGTGGAAGTGGAAGTGGAAGTGGAAGTGGAGGGCGTGTCGGTCGAGAAGACCTGCCCTCGCCCTCCCAACCGGGCAAGGATCGAACCCCCTACCCCGTCCCCCAGCCGAGGCCTGGGGACGGAGAGGGTTTGGGGGGGAGGGACAGGGGGAGGGAAACACTCGATGGCGAAAGATCACGTAACAGGAGCGCCCGCACGTCCGAAGGCCCCACACTGCTCCCGGAACTTCAGCATACATGGACGTGGCTATCGCGAAGTGCGCGTGCGCACACACACACACACAACGTGCACCACTGATACACACACACCACCACGCGCGCACGCAAGAATCCCGCCACTAGGTTGCCCCCGCCGTGCTCGCCGAGTTATGGTCGGCGGACCAGAACGCGTGATACGACAGCTGCCCCACCTTCCCGCCCACGCAGTGGCCTTGCCCGTCAAACAGACAAAGTGCGCGCGTCGGGTGCGGCGAGGCGCGCAAAACCATTAAAAAGACATAGCTTGCACCCACATTCGCGCCGTTAATCTAGAGACTAGCGACGAGAAGCAGACTAGAGTGGCGGGCGACGGTAGCCTACTGAACGGGCGTGCCTCTGCCCTGGTGGGCTGGTGAGATGATTTCCCGACGTACGAGCACGGCCTCATGAGGCAACGGGTTCAAGACCCCGCGTCGTCAGGGTTCAAGACCCCCGCCCATGAGGAACGGTGCAAGACCGAACCTCAGCGCCAAGGGCGGCCTTACGGCGACGACGGTCCTCACTCGGCTAGCCGGTACGCCCCCAGGACGGACACCAGGGACAGGATACACAGAACGGCTGGTCGGACGACTACAAGGTTGAGTCGCAGACGGTGTAATCTACGTCGGGTCTTCAAGCCATCACGACGTGTGTGTCTGGCAATGGCGTGAGGTGTTTCCCTCCCTGCCTCCTCGCCCAACCCTGCCCACTCCATCTCCACGAGCGCCAAACCCTGCAGAGGTAGGAGGTGCCCAAGACGCAGCGCCCCGGAAGGACACCTTAAGGATCGAGAGGCGCACCACACGCACGCGCGCCTTAGCGCCACGCCTACTCCCGTTGATCAGGCGGGAGCAGGGCTTACGCTGCACGGCGCGCAGGGGAAGGCCCCGAGGGACCTAACCGCCCCTGCACGCCGAGGCAGCGAGTCGCGCCCACCCGCCCCCAGCGGAACTAGGGCCTAAACGACTGCGTGGGACAGCAAGTGAGGTAGGTGATCCACATGCCCAACACGCAACCACGCTGTCATGAACGCGGGTGCAACGGGGACGACGTGAGGGGGCTGGGCCGGGGCGAACCCAGCCACCCCCAGCGCCCTGGGTTAGCCGCCTCAGGCGGGGGATTGGCGCACCACGAGCGAGGCGCCATACCACAATCAGCCCCGGCCGCCCGAGACGTTGCCCTCGGCCCAGCCAGGAGGCTTGGGCGCTAACGGGCCTGACGTAACTACGACGCGAACACCACGCCGGAATGCTCCCGTCCGACTCGGCGGTCTGTGGACGCGCCGTCGTAGCTGGCTAGGCTACGCACGGCACCCCGGCCCCGGGAGCGGGGCGTAGGCCGGTGAGGACTACGGTCGCGCCCCCCTCTGTAGGACACGTCACAATCGCGATGCCGACGACTGGGTAGCGCCTAGAGGCCCCGGGTGGGTCCCGGTGTTCCGCGCCCAGACAAGCGGCGCCGTAGAAGTCACCATCATCCATCGCACAGCATCAACAGCCACAGACACACCCCGAACACACCCGCGCACACACACACATCCACACTCCATCCACACACACACATCATCCAACATCGTGCGGCTGGCACTGGTCGGAGTGGCCGTCTTGGCCCAAGATGGTCCCAAGATTGTCCCAAGATGGTCCGAAAGGCGCCCAAGACAGCCCCAGTAGCGCCCAATATTGGCCCAAGATGGCCCCAAGATTGTCCCAAGATGGTCCGAAAGGCGCCCAAGACGGCCCCACATCGCCCCAAGACGGCCCAATATGCACTCAAGACTGCCAACGATGGCTCCGAGAGACCCACCCCCAGGAGAACGAAACGAGGCCCCCAAGCGGCCCCCGAGAGGCCTTGGATGCTTCTCTCTTGGGGAGCGTCGAGCTTCCAGCATCGTTTTGGAGGCTTCTTGGACCCTTTGGGAGCCATCTTTGCGCTATTTGGAGACGTCTTGGCGAGGTGCGCTCGAAAAGTCGATTCGTGTCCTCGCACTGGGGCCCTTCTTAGGGAGTTCCGTCTCGCCGCCCTCTTGCGGGCCTCCTAGGCCGCACCTACTGGCCCCATTGTCACCACACTGCCAGATGAAATGATCATTCTGTCACGGCTACCTTCCCCGCAGAAGCTATGAAGAACACAGATTGCGGCGTCAGAAACAGCTTCTGTCGACACCATGTCATGCCTACATGGGTGTGCTTCCACTGACACCGTATCCACTACCGCGTTCCTGCCTTCAGGCCTGCTTGCCTGCATCCTTCGCCCACCTTCCCCTCCAGCGGCCACCTCCTCCACGCCGTCCCCTCCAACCTCCCTTTGCCCGCGAGGCCCCAGGGACGCTCCACTTCCACGTCCACGCCAGGGTGAGCAAATTCCGCGGCTGGAGGCCGCGGGTCAGCCCTAATTAGCTACAGCGCTGGGATGAGCGCGTGCGGGAAGGGCGAGCAGTGGCAGCGGGCTCTGGTGTTGCTTGGCGACATGTGGGAGATGAGTGTGGAACCCAATGTCATCAGCTACAACGCTGGGATCAGCGCGTGCGAGAAGGGTGCGCAGTGGGAGTGGGCTCTGGCGCTGCTCACCAAGATGAGGGAGGCGAACTTGGAGCCCAGCGTCATCTATGCTACAACGCCGCGGGTCGCGCATGCGGGATGGGCGGGGGGGATCCTCTTGGGAGGCCTCTTGGAAGCCTTTTCGGGCGTCCTGGAGGCCTCTGGGGCCGTCTGGGGGCCACCTTGAGCGTCTTGGGGCGATCGTTCGGCGACTCGGGGCCCGCTTGGACCGTCTTGGGGGCTTCTTGGGGCCCTCTTGGCCCGTCCTGGGGCCCTCCTGGGCCCGAAATATTTACGGGGCCGTCTCTGGACGGCCCGAGGCGGTTCGAGACGGCCTGGGAAACGACTGGTCCGGGCCCCTAAAATGACTCGGAGGTGGATAGACCTCCTACCCTGACACGTCGATTAGCGAATTGGCCGTTTTCGGTTCGCGAGTGGGCGTCGCGGCCGTCATTTTTGCGGGTCCAGGTCCGTCGGTTTCGGTGCAGGGCCGTTTTCACGAAGGGGAGGTTTACTAAAGGGAGGTTTGTCCACCGCCGAATGACTAGCAATTCTGGCAGGAGCAGCAGCAGCACCGCCTCTGCCTCTCAGTGCTGCATGAGCTTGGGGCACTCCACTTCGTGCCCGAGGCAAGGTGGCAGATGACGGGAAGCGCGCTCAGGCTCGAAGAGTCGCGCGATGGACTTTGCTTGGGGGCCCGGAGGGACAAATATTGATCAAGTGGAGGGGTCCAGGGGAGGAGTGGTGGCGGGATCGCTACTCCACCGGGACGTGGCGGATGACGGGAAGCGGCGCTTAGACTCGAAGAGTCGCGCGATGGACTTCGATTGCCAGTTTTGAGGGAAAAATATTTATCAAGTGGAGGGGTCCAGGGGAGGAGTGGCGGCGGGATCGCTCCTTGACCGGGACGCGGCGGATGACGGGAAGCGCGCTAAGACTCGAAGAGTCGCGCGATGGACGTCTGTGTGCCAAGAAGGATCTTTTTATCAACTGGGGTAGGGGTCTGGGGGGGGAACTATTGAGAAAAAACCCAGGTGTTTTTAACAGGTTCGTTGAACAATCAGCGTTTCGCTCGAGACATCCTCCAAAAAATGCCTTCGGACGGGTCCTCGAAGCCATGTTGGTCTCCTCCTCCTCCTCCTCCTCCTCCTCCTCCTCCTCATCCTCCTCTTCCTCTTCCTCCTGCTCCTCCTTCTCTTCCTCCTTCTCCTTCTCCTTCTCCTCCTCCTCCATCTCCACTTCGGGACCAACGGGATATTCATATAGCTATTTCGGGGTCCACGCAATGCTTATATAGCGATTTCGGGACCCGCAGAATACTCATAGCGACTTCGGGACCAACGGAATACTTCGATAGCGATTTCGGGGTCCACGCAATACTTCTATACCGACTTCGGGACCCACATAATACTTATATAGCGACTTCGGGACCCACGGAATATTTCTACAGCGATTTCGGGACGCATTCCGCTTTACGTGGGAATCCGTGCGCCTGCGCACGCAAGCTAAGAGAAGCGGGGCTTCCCGTTCTTGTCCGGATAGGGACCCCTAAAACGGTTGTTTCGCTCGAGACATCCTCACAACATCGAGAAGTTGGGGGTCGTATCTTAAGACGTAGTTTGACAAACATGGGCGTTTCGCTCGGGACATCCTCAAACATTCGGGATCGCGAAATCGCTCGCCTAATTTCCAGATCCTCGAAAATGGGCGTTTCGCCAGAGACATCCTCGAAAACATGGCATGCCGACAGAGCTCTTGTAAGGCATCTTTTCGGAGCGATCTCGGATGACCCCCAAGATGGTCCAAGAAGCGAACATAATGAAAAACCCACGTGTTTTTAACATTTTCGTTGAAACATCAGCGTTTCGCTTGAGACATCCACCAACCAATGCCTTCAAGAAGCGAAGATATTGAAAATACCTAAGTGTTTTTAACAGGTTCGTTGAAACATCAGCGTTTCGCTCGAGACATCCTCCAAACAATGCCTTCGGACGGGTCCTCGAAGCCATGTGGTCTCCTCCTCCTCCTCCTCCTCCTCTTCCTCCTCTTCCTGCTGCTCCTCCTCCTCTTCCTCCTTTTCCTTCTCCTTCTCCTCTCCTCCTCCTCCTTCTCCACTTTGGGACCAACGGGATATTCATATAGCGATTTGAGGGTCCACGCAATACTGATATAGCGATTTCGGGACCCACAGCGACTTATATAGCGACTTTGGGACCAACATAATACTTATGTAGCGATTTCGGGGTCCACGCAATACTTATATAGCGACTTCGGGACCCACAGAATACTTCCTTAGCGACTTCGGGACCTACGGAATACTTATCTAGCGATTTCGGGACCCACGCAATACTTATATAGCGATTTCGGGACCACAGAATACTCATATAGCGACTTCGGGACCTACGGAATACTCATATAGCGATTGCGGGGTCCACACAATACTTATATAGCGATTTCGGGACCCACTGAATACTCATATAGCGACTTCGGGACCCACATAGTACTTCTATATCGATTTCGGGGTCCACGCAATACTTTTATAGCGATTTCGGGACCCACAGAATACTTATATAGCGACTTCGGGACCCACGGAATATTTCTACAGCGATTTCGGGACGCATTCCGCTTTACGTGGGAATCCGTGTGCCTGCGCACGCAAGCTAAGAGAAGCGGCGTTTCCCGTTCTTGTCCGGATAGGTTCGCTTGGCGGATGATGGGAAGCGCCTTCTCGGAACGAGGAAGCGTTCCTCAGTATATTTAAAGAACAGAGACGCGAGGGACAACGGGCTCGCGGCTGGGCGGGGTCCATCGCTTGGCGGATTCCCCCCTTTTATGGCCGTTTCGTTCGAGACATCCTTTTAAAAAGTGGGATCTTGAAGGACTTGGTTTAAGACGCTTTGCGTCAAAAGTGAGGCTCCCGCTCGAGACATCCTCGAAGAAGTGAGATCTCCAGGGATCTCGCGAATTCGTCGACATCTTGAAAATGAGGCTCTCGCTCGAGACATCCTCGAAAAAATGGGATAGTGGACGAGCTGCTTCGAGACGTCTTCAGTTCAAAGTGGGGCTCTCGCTCGAGACATCCTCAAAACAACGGTGATCTCCAGGGAGTTTGCGAAACGAGTCGGTCCGAGAAGAGCTTAAGTGGGCTCCAAGACTGTCCAATAATGCTTCAAGACGGTGCAAGATACCCTATCATCATCATCGTCACCATTATCAGCATGATGATCATCATGATCTCCACCAAGACGGTCCAAGAGGGGCTCAAGAAGGCTTCCAGAATCTCCAAGAGCACTGCAAGACGGTCCAAGATACCCTTCATCGTCTTCATCATCATCCTCGTCATCACCACTACCATCATCATCGTCGTCATCATCATCACATTGTCATCATCCTCGTTAGCGTCATCACGGTGGCGGGATGTACAGAACGCTAGTACATAATATGATGCATCATGACACTACGACCTCCTCCTGCTTTCCCCTTTCCTCTTCGCTTTGTCCTGGGCTACTGAATCGCCATATAACGTTTTCCGTGGCCACGGAGTCGCCATAGAACTTTGTCTTGGGCCACGAAATCGCCATATAACTTTGTCCTGGGCCACGGAATCACCATACAATTTTGTCCTGGGCCACGGAATCGCCATATAACTGTGCCCCGGGCCACGGATCGCCATATAACTTGGTCCTGGGCCACGGCGTCGCCTCGAATGTGCCAGTGTGTACGCAATGGATCGGCTCTGCCGTCCGAGTTCTCTTTCGCATCTGCCCTTACATTCTTACTTTTCTTGAGGATCGGCTCTGCCCCCCTCCAGAACACACACACACCGCATACACGCTCTCACGCAGGCACACATACGCACACAGCCGCACACGCACCGGCACACGCACGCACAAGCACACGCACGCACACACGCATACAGGCCACGCGCAGCACCTGACCAACCCAACCAGAGGCAACCACTCAACACAAGCTACCTATGGCAACCATCTGGGCGTTTAGGGAAGCCCAGCGACTACCAATCCCATGTGCGCACATTCCACGTTGTGTGCAACGCCCTGCGCGTGCGCACGCAAGCTCAGCGAAGCGGCGCTTCCCGTTCTTGTCTGGAAAGGTTCCCCCCTCTATGGCCGTTTCGTTCGAGACATCCTATAAGCAACGGGATCTTGAAGGACTTGTTTTAAGACGCTTTACGTCAAAAGTGGGGCTCCCGCTCGAGACATCCTCGAAGAAGTGAGATCTCCAGGGATCTCGCGAATTCGTCGAAATCTTGAAAATGAGGCTCTCGCTCGAGACATCCTCGAAGCACTGGGATAGTGGACGGGCTGCTTCGAGACGTCTTCAGTTCAAAGTGAGGCTCTCGCTCGAGACATCCTCAAAACAACGGTGATCTCCAGGGAGTTTGCGAAACGAGTCGGTCCGAGAAGAGCTCAAGTGGGCTCCAAGACTGTCCAAGAATGCTCCAAGACGGTGCAAGATACCCTATCATCATCATCGTCACCATTATCAGCATGATGATCATCATGATCTCCACCAAGACGGTCCAAGAGGGGCTCAAGAGGGCTTCCAGAATCTCCAAGAGCACTGCAAGACGGTCCAAGATACCCTTCATCGTCTTCATCATCATCCTCGTCATCACCACTATCATCATCATCGTCGTCATCATCATCACATTGTCATCATCCTCATTAGCGTCATCACGGTGGCGGGATGTACAGAACGCTAATACATAATATGATGCATCATGACACTACACCCTCCTCCTGCTTTCCCCTTTCCTCTTCACTTTGTCCTGGGCCACTGAATCGCCGTATAACGTTTTCCGTGGCCACGGAGTCGCCATAGAACTTTGTCTTGG